ATCTACTCGAAATTAGGTTGTACATTCGAAGTCATCAACCCGGCACTTCGTTTTAGTAAAAGTGGGTACACACGGGTTTGTATTCTCTTACAACCCTCTCAATGCTGGCTTCAAGATATTAGCATACCAGAGCGCCTGGCCTAATGGGAAGTTATATTCATCCATTAATGGAAGCTGGAAGGTGATCAAGGACCTGCCCTCGACAAAACTAAACGCAATTACTTCCCTGGGAAAACATGTGTGCATGAAAAATGCTATCATGTATTCGGAAAAGATATGAATTGCATAAGAGCATTTGATACGGAGACAGAGGAATGGGAAGAGGGCATCCCCTTCCTCTCTGGGTCCCGGACCTCGGAAGCCTGTATTATGGGTTTAGATTCATTGATTGGGATGGGCATGTGTGCCTTGTGTTTGCTTCCCGTGACCATTAATTGTCATGACTTTAGAATATGGGTTTTGAGGCAGCGGGGGAGGGGAGGGGAAGCAAAAGTAATCAAAGTTGAGAATACAGTAGAAGACCTTCAGCCTGGTCTTCAAGTGCCCATGATCAGATCAGAGTCCCTCTTGGTGGCCCTAAGAAGAGACCTCTTCATATACAATGTGAGAAGTGTGTTCGAAAACGAGGTTGCCGTGGCCATATGGCTTTATAGGCCAAGTCTTGCCTTTTAGACCACCACTCTTTAGCCCATAGAAGACGAGTTTATTATCTAGGATTGTGTAATTCACACTATCTATTGGTACAATGAGGTCACCTTTATTTCTACCGGACTATCTATTGGTACAATGAGGTCACAATTATTCTAATAATGTTGGGGATTTCCTAGAAGACAAGCCAACTTTATTATGTGGGGATTGTGTACTACCATACTATCTATTGGTACAATGAGGTTACAATTATTCTAATAAAACTGGGGATTGTGTACTACCAATCTATCTATTGGTACAATTAGATCATAATTATTTTTAGCTATTAGATGTGAAATCCGATAGATTAAAGTGTATCACAACATTTGAAAGTTTTAGTTTGAACTTTGTGTCCCATCAACTAGACATCCCCAACTGCCTTATTGCTCATTTAACAGTCAATAATGATTATGATCTTTTTATACCAAAAATTATTTCTCATCTAACAATCAATAATGATTGTGATCTTTTTATACCAAAAATTAAACGGTCTTATGATAAGCGGTTTGCAGCCGGCACCTTTGAAAACCTCGTGTTATTTAAACCCGAGTTTTTTTTAGTTTGGCTGTTTTTGATTTGGCTTCTTTCTCATATAGTTTGTAATTCGGGATCTTAATTTCCAATAATACAGACCATTATATGAATTCTTACATGCACCCCAAAGCCATAGGACCCTGACCTAACTAGATAAATTCCACCTAAATGCCAAAATCCTACCTTCAACATTTCCAGTGGGAACCGACTAGGCTAGATAGTATACAATTAAAATACTATAATATTTGAATGATCTATAATATACTTTATCATTTTTAACACAAATGAAGCAAGCAGAAGAGTAGCGGTACAATGAGCAGGGGAGTTCAACATGTTTATAACCAGTATTGTTGAGGTGTCTCCCCGTGCTCATTTATTCAATATTGCTTAATAGTCTACGTTAGTTACAGTGGCTCAAGGAGTCGACACGTCTCCCCGTGCTCATTTATTCAATAGTGCTTAGTAGTCTACATTAGTTACGTGGCTTAAAGAGTCGACACGTGTTGATAGACAACAAGGAGTCAGGACTACATGTCATGGTAGGAGCCAGGACTACGTGTCATGGTAGCCAAAGGCAGTAACACTTAACCATAAGCAGTAACCTCCAGAGGCTTAATTTAATGGTAAAAGATGGGATTAGCCTACTAGCTCATATGAACATATGAGCTCAATATCTCAGATTGAATCTGGGCTTGGCTACCAACACTTAACCATAAACAGTAACCTCCAGAGGCTTAATTTAATGGGAAAAGATGAGATTAGCCTACCGGTTCATATGAACATATGAGCTCAAATCCCAGATTGAATCTGGGCTTAATCATAAACAGTAACCTTCAAAAGCTTAATTTAAAGGGAAAAGATAAGATTAGCCCACTAGCTCATATGAACATATGAGCTCAACGTCCCAGAATGAATCTGGGCCAATCTGACGATCACGGATGTCTAGTAGTATTTGAATTTTAATTTTTTTTTTTACAAATCCAAATCACTTGAAATTTTAGACGTGTGTTCACCAAAAATAGGTGAAACTTTAAAAAATATCAAAAAAATATTCTACATGAAATAAATTGACTAAAATACCCCTAAAAATATTTCAGGGGGGTATTTTGGTCATTTTTTTCGTAGATATTTTTTTTTATATTTTTAATAGGTGCGCTTTGATGATAAGAACATATACTAAAATTTCAAGTGATTTGAATTTTTAGAAAATAAAATAAAATTCAAGCACTATCCGACATCTGTGATCATTACATCGGCCTAGATTAAATCTAGATTGTTGGCTCATATGTTCATATGAGCTAGTGGGCTAATCCCATCTTTTCCCTAATTTAAATGGCCACGTGTCTCTATAGGCGCATGTTAAAGCAACTTATATTTCATGGGACACAAGCATTGCATTTGCAAGACAAAAACTATCCTCTAGGAGCTTAAGTTGCGTCGCCGGTTCGCGGATGGTAAAACCATAGTTAGCAAGTCTTCGTTTAAAACATGATTTTTTCAAATTTTTTTTGAATTTTTTAGATATGTTTAGAATTTTTAGTTTTTCAAAAGATCTTAAAAAACTCACGTTCTTTTCATGGAACCGATATAAAACCCTATTTTATCTTTTTTTCAAAAACAACTTTTCAAAAAAAAACTTCTTCTCTATAACTTTATTTTTTCATTAACTTAATATAATTGAAATTTTTATTTAAAGATAAGCAAATTAATAGTAGGAGTAAATTAAGAATCTTGATTTAAAGTAAAATCCCATAAAACGTTTCCCCAATAATTTCCCTTGAACAAAGTTTACAAAAAATTACAAACAATATATTCCCCAAAAAATAAGATATCAGAACAAAAAAAAAAAAGATATCACAGCAATCACATATCTCAAAATAATAGGCAAAATCAGAAGATTAACCCAATGATTTTTTTTTTCCCTTTAAACCCATTACATCCTTATAAAGAGCATTTTGTGTGTGAGATTCAAAATTGGTTAAAGATTTTGTATACTAAAGATTTAAGCAGCTAGAAATTCAACGTGAGATTTGAATTTTCTTAAACATTTTGTTGCTTTCATTATATATAGAGAAGTTTGTTTTTTATTTATTTTATTGATGTATACAACATAGCATTTTGGATGGACTACTATTTTATGTTTTTGGGTATGTATTTTGTTTTAGTTAATTGCAATCCTATATTGAGGATATTTTTTGTGGTTTTTTTTATTCTTCAAACAACAATCCTATATCTTAATTTACAGATCTTGTTATCTACTAATATAGTTATTGTCTTAGGTATTATTTATATTTCATTTTATGATCCAAATAAATCTGTAACATGTTTCGTGTTGTGGCAACAGTTTAGATAATAAATTGTCAAGTATCACTTTAATGAAACTAGATAAGGTCATAAAATTAAGGGTGCAGTTTGTATAGAGCCAAGGCTCTAAATAATCAAATTAGAGCCTACCTTGAAATAGTGTCAAGAAATATGATTTTAATACTAGAAAGTTTTTGTGACAGCCTTTAATTATATTTTCATTTTTTAGTTTTACAATTTAAAGCTTAAAAAATAGTGTAGATCAAGTAGATCCATGAAAACTTGAAAATCTTGAAAATTGATGATCCAAAAATGCAACACAAGATGCACTATTTCCAAAACTTGAAATCCATTTTCTTTCATGTCCATGCATCTTGATGTCAAGATGATCAATTTGATAATATTTGGGCATCAAAATAACATCTTTAGTGAAACTTTGGAGGCAGGCTCTAATTTGATGGCTTATAGCCTAGGCACTATATAAACTTTGCCCTAAAATTATTGTTCAATGACTTTAATGTATAGATACAATAAATGCAAATCATAATCCTATAATATTTATGTATAAACTTTGCCCTAAAATTATTATTCAATGGCTTTAATGTATATATACAATCAATGCAAATCATAATCCTTTAATATATATTTACAATAAATGCAAATTATTATGTCATCTTTACATATTCAATTTTTTCACTCTAATTTTTTAAGACAAATCCGAATTATTCATGACTTTATAATTTACCTCATTTTTTGGTGACGATTTTTTCCACCAACTTTTTTAAACAAAACCGATTCATTACCGATATATTATTATTCCCCCACTTGCTAATTATGGGTAAAACTCGTACCATACACATTTTGTGCATGATTTACCACATGCAAGCAATCACCATATGTTCTCAATTCAAGTGGTGGAGAAGAGCAATAATTTGGATGACTTTCCATCTTTGGAACGAGCGTTTGAAAAATTGTTGATCTAGATCATAATTGCCCATTTGTAGAAATATATATAATCCTATTAGCATTGACTATTACTCAAAGCCCTATGAGTGCTCCGGTTAGTCCTCTCTTACATGAGGTTGGGGTTCGAGGTTTCAAATCCCGAGCATAATTTTTGATAAAATATCTACAATATGTGCATAACATATGCGTTCGAGAATGGGGTTAAAATATCTACAATATGTGCATAACATATGCGTTCGAGAATGGGGTTAAAATATCTACAATATGTGCATAACATATGCGTTCGAGAATGGGGTTGGGTTATAGTAGTAAAGGTTTAGGCTTCCATCTTCGTCTAACACCTTCAAAAATCAATAATTATTTAAAAATAACACCTTTGAAAACCAATAAAAACAGTCATTTATAAAATAGTACACGATGGCATTTAAATCCCCAAAAGGTCTGCCACTAATGCATCCCAAGTATGCTTTAAAATTATGATACTGAATATATAAAACATTGATGTCTTTATTTTATCCAGTGACCCAAACGGGTCCATGGGTATATGATCCGCTCCACTGATCTAGGTTTTCAAACACTAATTGGAATTATGGTTCACTCCACGGTCCACTTCAGAGAGGACCATGGATGTGCCGACTATTCATGGTACACTGGGCCAATCCAGGACTAGGCAAGTGATATTTGACCCATCCTGAACCTTTTATTGGTGGCCCAGGCCTATTCAAGAAACTGAATAAGGAGTGCTTTGTGAAATCAGAGGAGATTAAGGAACATGATTAGGAAACAGACTATTGCATCTTAAATATAACATAGCCAAGCCCATATAATTAGCCTACATTTCACCTCTATACTGGAGATGCAGAGAGAAGAAACTCAGGCAGTAACCTCTGCATCAAGATCCCACAAAAAGGACACAATGGCTTTGGGAGTGCTTGTAAGAGTACTGATTTCGAGAGCAAATTTACATCCTTAAGAACTGGTGGCACAGTAAAGAAGATAGAGGGGGCATGTTTGGAAGCCCACCTTTTGCAGCAAATGCAATGCCACAGTGGGATAGCAGGGCAAACTTGCATGGATATGGCACATCGAGGTAGCTTATGGCCTCCTTTACTTCTGCGATCGCAATCTGAGGCTTTGCAGGAAGCGACTTCTGCAGATTCAAATGGGACAGGCGCGGAGCAGTATGCACATTTTTCTTCCTCTACGTAATCGCAGATTAAGGGCAACCTGTCAAGGAAAATGGGGAAAATTTGCAATAAATTCATTTTTTCTATAGTTTAAAATAAAAAATCAGTTCACAAGCGGATCAAGACAAATGATCACAGCACATGGCCCATGCCTTCAACAACCATGACAAAGAAGGGTCTCTCTCACCTGTATTGCTCTCTCTCTCTCTCTCTCTCTCTCTCTTAACAAACACAAATTCTACAAATATTTTCTTTGTTCATCATCTCCCTAATTCGTATATGTTTTTCTTGTTCTCATTTTCATTCCCATTCTATGCATGTAGTGTCCTCCAGAAAATTTGTGATCTCTCATCTTCCACTCTCAACTAACTCTTCATTGTTAACTCTTCCTTCATAGACACCACCAAGCACAAAGACTAGAAAGCAAGGGTAACTTGCATACAGTTACAATGTCGCTGGTAACTATAGATAAGAACACTCGGCTAGCACAGGTAACTATAGATAAGAATACTCGACTAGCACAAGAAATAGAGCATGAAGTTGAGTAAAATACATACAGCTTCCTGAGCCTTCCAAGTTCTGCTTCAAGAACTTTAAGTTCATGGGAAACTTGCTGATTGTTTAACGCGAGCCACTTTTCCATCTGTGCAACCCCAGCCGGAATCCAACATGATCCATCATTAGAAAGTACTTGGGTTGTACAAGATGCACAATATATAACTGCTGAAAATGTTAAACCAACAAGCCAGTCTCGCAATCGTGATTCACAGATGTTCAGTAACTTTACCCATAAATCCAGTTGCTCATGTTCCTCACCATTTACTCCAACCAAACCATATACACCATTGTTAAGAGTTGCAGCCTCAACCTTTGGCACTATCAAGCGCCGGCATATGATATTTAGCAGATGCATTTTACGGGTACTAAGTTTTGACAAGATATTAGGCTCAGATGACAAAATCATTTCAAGAGAGAGGATCTCCTGGGTACTGCCAGAACATTTCGAGATCCATTTAAAGAGTAACTCTTCCACAAATCTTGGCTCTAGTTTTTTGAAAGCCATTAATGCCTCTATGACATCCCAAACAATTAGCGGTTTCTCTATGCAGTCTAACTGCTGTAGTGACCACAAAATGTTGGAATTCCAGCAACGCAAATCCATCTCAGAGAAATCATCAAGGTCTTTATCTTCTACATACAGTGACAGCTCTGTTGATACTTCCATCTGTTGCCCACCAATCCAAAAGAACTCCACAACTGCTTTTAGAGACCTTAGTATGCCATGAAGAGATAAGTTCAATGAGTAACTCTTGTTTTGAACAAAATATGCTTGATGGTACATGATTGATCGGTTACCTAGATTGGTACATGGGATCTACGAGTTCTGTGTCCACGCTCCTAACCTTCATACACAACGTTGATGAGTGTCAAATACAAGTTAGCAATTACATTCCATGCATACCATTTTTCAAGGAAAAGCCATGTATAAATTCCAAACAATCAAATATTTCCACTTGTGCAGACACGATGAAAATACATACAGTAGAGGCATGATTCATGACTTCTGCAAAAAGGAACTCAAAATAAAGTTATGTTTCTTTTCATATATGAAGCAAATACATGTGTGAGACAATAATCAAATGATGAAAGAGAAAAGCTTAGTTATCAAAACGAGCAACCAAAAAAAAGAATTAACTATCTATAGATACAAATGGATCATTGTGGGCCTTCACCTATTCCAAATACATGCTAACCAGGCTTCACCCTGGGAAAGAGGGGGAAGAAAAGGCATAGTAGACAGTTTTATAATAGAAATGTTCCATCGAAGGGGAAAATCAAGAGCCCTATTCGACTCCCAAGAGTATTATTGTTCTGTTTTGACTACCCAGCCAATCAACAGAAGAGAAGTTTTATAATAAAAATGTTCCATCGAAGGGGAAAATCAAGAGCCCTATTCCATTCCCAAGAGTATTATTGTTCTGTTTTGACTACTCAGCCAATCAACAGAAGAGAATTCGTCTAGAGAGGTTTACCTACTAGGTTTCAAGTGCTTTAGACATTAGCTTACCATATGCCTGATACCCAGAATAAATAATCATGCAGTTATGCAATGCTGTATGCACATGCATGCATACATGCGCTCACGCTGACAATTGGATAGAATACTAAACCAGTTGGTCGTGGGTAATTTCATAGCAGAAAATGCACCCTTCTTAGATTATACAGAACTGAAAGAACCAATAAAACTAAAATGCAGCCCCCTCACAATTTCCATATAAGTGTATTTTCCTTCTAAGCTTTGGTAAAAAGATTTCTACATCCAACAAGTGCAGATCTCCATCAGTGTACTATGCTGTAAATTGCCTATCAATGATTGTAGAAGAATTTGAATTGGGAAAAATAGAGTTTGTTATGAACTTCTGGAAAACAGGCAGTTAGAATATTTCACATGGACAGATTATGGAAGAGAATTCTAGAATTGACTCATTATTTTGGCTTCTGCAGTCTTACCTTTTTCTGTCAACATTGCAAAAGGGGAAAATCACTGTCTTCGGTTCATTTAACATGCCCAACCATTTTATTATGACAAAAGGTCCTCTAATTATTTCATATAAAGTAACTAGTCAAAGCAATCATACTTCCAGCTAATAGTGTAACTGTAAATGTCTAAAGCCACATTATTTTGGAAAAGTACACAAATTCCGATGTTCACACGATGTTCCAATTCAAGCAGCTTCATATCCTTGTGTAAATGGAAATCTTTTTTACTTCTTTTTCCTCAGCTAAGTTTTGAGTTGACACAAGTCCTAGGGAACAAAAGTCAGAATGGAAATTTGACAGCACACTTTGCCCACCTCTTTTACAAAGTTCGTTGTGAGTCTATGACTATTTTTCTTAAGATTTAATTGCATACCTCAACCACCGAAGTACAATAAAAAGGGAGTTTACAAATATTCAGTAGTCATGAAAAAGCCAGGAGAAACAGAAGAAAAAAACATGCCCGAACCATGGTAAAGAAGAGATACATTGGGACAGTGCTCATGTGTCAAAACCAATTCTAACTTCCATAGAAGAGGAAGATGCGCTTAGAAGAAACTTTCAATGCTCATGTGTCCAAAACCAATTCTAACTCCTACAGCTACGCATGAAACTTTCAACCTTCTCACATGCAACACAGCAGAGGAAGATGTGCTTAGCAAGATTACCAAAAACTACTTCCACATAAATTAGTTATGTTGACAATGACAAGTAGATCATAAAGAATAACCAAGTAGACAGTTTGACAGAAAAAGACACATACTGTAGCAAGGACCAAGTTTCCTGGGGATAGTGCAAAGCCAAAGCACGAGTCAAATACATGCAGAGGAATCTGTGAAATTACAGTCCAATTTATTAAAATGCAAAAAAAAAAAAACGAAAATGGTAAGGAAAATCACTGCAGGGAGCAAGCCTTACATCGGCGGAATTTTTGTGGTTATCAAATGCAAGGCTTGGAGAGCTTAGAGGAAAAGGCAAAGGATCAAGAGAGCTGCCATGCAGGATCCAGCAACGCACAGAATTATCCTGTCAAAATACAAATTCAATAATCCCCAATGAATCAGCTTGCTTTCTATCAAGAAAATTTTCTATTCCATAGTTAAAAACCTGTTGCATTTTCCATTGCCCATAAATCCACAATTAGTATATCATAAACATTAACATCCGAGCCTCTTATCCTAACTATTTCGGGTTGGCCACACAAATTCTGTTCCGTCATTCTTCTCTATCGAGGGCTATACCCTTAGTCAAGCCATAAGTCACCATATCTTTTCTCACTATTTTCATGCATGTCCCTTGGGGTTTTTCGCTTGCCCTTTTTAGAGCATTCCATAATTAGTATATACAAGTCAAAAAATCTCAAATAGAATTACCCACATTCATCTTTTTCACAATTAATGATAATAAAATCTCTTTCACAGACAATTCACACAAACTTTTAGATGGTGCTGAACAAAGGCCAAGTGATATTTATCAAAACTAAAATATGTAAAAGTTGATATGCAAATAAGCTCAAAGTCAAACATATGTATTAACCTGAATGTGATTAGGGCTGGCAATGGATCCGGACCTGACCCAGGACCCGGCGGGTATACCCGAACCGAGTCTGGATATGGGTCCAAATTGGGGCCCGCAGGTACAGGTCTAGGTCCCACCATGTATACTCAAAATTTTTGGGTACGGGTATTGTTGGACCCGCCCCTTACCTGACCGGGGACCTGGACAATGATTAACTCCACCTAGGATAGTATGCTTTCTCACTCTACCTACCCTTCATTTTATTTGGGGAGGGGCTAGAAAGAGAAAGTTTGGTGGGAGGTGGGTTAGATAGAGAGGTTGGAAGGGGGTGGGGGAGAGAGATTGATGGGAAATGGGTTGGGAGAGAGAGAGTTTGAAGGGTGATGGGCTCGAGATTGAAAGTTTAGAGAGAGAGGGGGGCTCGTGGAGGGAGGGTAGAGAGAGAAAGGGTGGAGAGGGAGAGGTTTATGGAGGAGATTGATGGGTTGTTAGAGAGAGTGAAGGTGACACCTGCTGATTTAGAGGAGGTTTTGATGGGAAAGGAGGGAGGGGCATTGGAAGCTTTGGAAAAGGTGGTGATGATGCTGAGAAACAAATTGGTGGATCAGAATAGGGTTTGTTGAGATCCAGTTTTTTTTTTGGTCTTTCTTCCTCTATCTCTTTCTCTTGTTTCTGCCTCTCTCTTTCTCTCTCTTTGTTCAATGGCCATCGACATCACATAGTTCAAACTTCAAAAGAGATAGAGAGCATTTCCAATCTTTTCGTTTGAGAGATGTTTAGTCCCACATCGGGCGTGTGCTCCAAGTGCTAAGGGGTCATAGCTTATAAAAGAGAGTGCTAAGGCATCTGCTCCAAGCCCCACATCAGGCATCAGGTATGGGTCCGGATCCCGGGTCCAATACTATTCGTCAAGTATGGGTACGGGTACGCTTAATTGGACCCATCAGGTACATTACGGGTCCGGGTCTAGGTTCATATTGGCTATTTCGGGTACGGGTATGGGTGTGGGTCCAGCTGGATGCGACCCATTGCCACCCCTAAATGTGATTAACAAATAGAAGACAAGCCCGACCATCATAAAGGTGTCAAGAGTAATATGAGTTTCTCAATAACAAGGTTCATCACATTAGCACCAAGGAATTTGGATAGTAATATTAGAAGCAACAATGCAGACAACCGCACTCAAAGTCAAACACATGTATTAATCTGAATGTGATTAACAAATAGAAGACAAGCTTGACCATCATAAAGGTGTCAAGAGTGATATGAGTTTCTCAATAAGAAGGTTGATCACATTAGCACCAAGGAATTTGGATAGTAATACTAGAAGCAACAATGCAGACCACCGCACTGCAAAACAGAATTGGGGAATAAAAATTGATTTCAACTACGCTAAAGCAAGATACAAATAAGATGAATACACAAGAAATGGGTATAATGACACCATCATCATCATTATCATCTGAGCCTTTTCCGAACAAGTATTTAAGAACGTGCCTAGGTGCCAACTACATGGTAACAGTTTAGCAACAGAGATTGCCTAAACTTGAAGATACAAACTTGCAGTGGTTGTGTTCTGGTCAATGATCAGCCTACCCTTTGCCCTTTTGGTTCCACTAGACGATAAGATGAGAGAAAATAGACTTAGGTAGGTTGGCCATGTGCAGTACAGACCTAGTACAACACCTGTTAGGAGGTATGAGTTGGTTCAAGTGGAGGCTCAAAAAGAGTAAGGAGTAGGCTTAAAAGGACATGGTTGGAAGTAGTGAAAAAAATATGGGGACTTATGGCCTCATTGAGAGTATAACCCTTGATAGAGCAGAATAATAGACTTAGATTCATGTAGCCAACCCTAAGTAGTTGGAAAAAGGCTTTGATGATGATTTGGGACTTTGGAGAATGAACTTCTTAGCCACACGACCGCTTCCAATTGCGCAATACCACTGCTGCAGCCACCAATACACAACCTCTACAGCACTGTACTGTTGCTGCAGCCACCATTGCCACCACCATATTGCCAGTTCCACTGGTTGATCTTAGATTAATAACGACGGAGCTCCACCTTGGCAGAGAGAGAGAACTGTGGTGGGACGGTTTGGTGGCAGCAATGGTGCATGGAAGTGGCAGTAGGGGTGGTCAACAGTGCCCTAACATTGGCGGGTGCAAATTAAGCCAAACAGTCTCAGATCACAATAAAACACAGATGTTAACTATGAAAAGTTAGGTGATGGTTTTTCCTTTCAGAAAGTTTACAATTTTGTGGCCAAATGTGGACTAAAAGTATCAATGACATCAAGACTCGTAATTACAGCCTAACATAAATGAAATGACACATGTTAGGATTAATACCAATCGAACTATATACCACTCAATGCATAATGTGGTCCATTGAAGATAACATACAAATGTTTCATCTAATCCAGGACAATGAAAATGAACTGGACACTAAAGTGCAGTTATAACAAATTTGCTATACTGGAAGTATAATGGAAAAACATTTCATATTCAAATGAAAATGCAAAACTAACTATTTACAATGAACATTCAGGGATTTTAAGAATAATTTCAAAATCTGCCATGAAAATCAATTTTCACCAAAGACGATGAGAGACATTTCATACAAAATAACACTATCATCTTAATTATCTTTAGCCCTTCCGTACCTGGCTGCAGCTATACAAAAAAGAGCAGTCAAAAGCCCAAGTAACACCTGTAACCTACAAAAATCTCATTAGGATTGTTAGGTATCAATGAATTTGGTAGAGAGTTAAACTGTACTGCATGGGTAAAAACTAACCACTTGATCGTGTGCATCCACATGTCCTGCAATATGGAACTTAGTGCTAGAAAGAAGACATTCATAAACTTCTAATAATCCAGAGCCTTTCCCAACTGCTAAAAGAAACTTGTTGCGAGATTTTGAAGGTACACCCAATGAGATGGCCGAGACAGGAATTGAATCAACTTTTATTATCTGTAAAGAAAGGTAGAAAAAATCCATTAATATAACATGTTCAAAGTTTTGCTGTGACAATCCAGCATGAAGCGCCAAGATTATCTTACCTCTTTCCAAAGGGTAAAGGAAGGTTCATTCAATTTTGAGTGTTTGGACACACAGAGAGCATCCCCTGACCATACCTTAACACTGCAAATATCCAATATGATAATTATAAGTGATCATTGAGGTCCATAAACCACATAGTCACAAGTTTTCGTTGAGGTTCAAAGGCACCAGCACGTTGAAACCATGGCTGCAGCTAGATTCCCACTATAACCTAGATATTTATATTGACATTTATATTAATAAAGACCTTCTAGTTTAGCCGTGCACATGAAGAGAGAGAGAGAGAGAGAGAGAGAGAGAGAGAGAGAGAGAGAGAGAGAGAGAGAGAGAGAGAGAGAGAGAGAGAGAGAGAGAGAGAGTAGTAGTACGTAGTACGTAGTACGTAACGTAACGTAACGTAACGTAACGTAAACGTAACGTAACGTAACGTAAGTACGTACGTTACGGTT